AGAGGAGGAGATACTTCTAAAATCATTTTACAAGAGGACAGACCATACTTTCTGATTCCAACAAAGCAATAAAGCTCTGCAATAAAGCATCAATCTCACAACAGAGCCAGAAGAGGGCACAGAAAGAAAGCTACAGGCCAATATCCCTGACGAAGAGAAGTGCAACAATTCTCAGTAAAGCACCGGCAAACCTAAGACAGCAGTGTGTTGAAAGGGTCATTCGCCACGATCCAGTGGGATTTACCCCTGGGACGCTAAGAGGGTTCAACATCCACAAGTCAGTTTATGTGATTTATCACATTAATAGACTGAAAGACAAGCTACGCCACCATTTCAATAGATGTCGCCTCAGAAAAGGCATTGGGCAAAATTCAACATTATTCATGTAACAATTCATAATAAATTAGGAGTAGAAGGGAGATTCCTCAGCATAGCCAAAAGTGAAAGGTCGCAACCTTTTCCTCTGGGGTCAGAAACAAGACAAGGGTCCAGTTCTTGTCACTCCTCCACCTCGGGTTCCTGGACGTCCTAGTGATCAGGCCCCAGATGTGAACGGCTTCTGGACCAGGAAGGAAGGAGAAAAATCTCCTCTCCTTGTGGATGACATTTTGTGTAGAGCAAATCTGCCTGTGAAAATGTGAGGGACAAGAGAGAAACCAGCGCTCACTTTGCGGTCACGACTCAAACTGGAGAGGTGACAGCCACAGTGTGTGGTCAGTGCTCGGTTAAGATGGAAAAGACATTCAGCTTGCGGGGGGGGGGGGGCGGGGGGAGATGTCTAATCAGAAAACGGCTTGCAGACGGAGGCATCATGTTGTGCCGGAAAGCATGAGCCTATATGAGGGGTTCAGCAAGGGGTCCCCGACACCAAGACATTTACTGCAAATAAGGGAAGTTTACCCAGATTCAGGACGAGGTTTGGCATCTCATATCATCACAAAAAGAACAGTGAGTCCAGGACAATGAGATGTTTTCAGGGTGAGAGAAAGAGGCTACATTCACATAACTTTCATTACAGTGTGCTGCTACAATCGTTCTGCTGTTACCAGTTACTGCAGTTAGCCTCTTACTGTGCCTAGGTCATAGGCGACATTGCACCACAGGCACGTGTGCACAGGGAGCAACATAGAGACAGGGCGCCGTGCTGTCTGCTCCTTCAGGCACCCACTGTGGGTCTGGGAATGCGTCCCCTCGGGTGGGGGCGATGCAGAGCCTGTCTCTGGCACTGTAACCTTTGTCCCTTGAGGGCAGGGGTTACCTGCCCTTGTGTCCCCAGTACCTGGCATACTGCAAACCCTTAGCAAACGTTTGGTGCATGACACTGGACTCGCAAGGGGCTCCACACGAGGATCTTACGGAGCTCAGCCTCAAGTCGGCTGCATCAGGCACCCTCGACCAGGGAGAGCGAATGCTCCACAAGGATAAGTGTCCACAGTGGAGAATTCATCGTAACCGAATGGGTGATGCAGCGGTTCTGAGCCACCCGCCGATGTGGTACAGACATGAAAAAACTGAGCTGAGCTCCGTGTGTGGGGGATGGTATTTGAACACTGCGTTTTACCAGCCCTTCTTAAAAACACAGCAAAGACCTTCAAAGCCTTTTCTGTGGACTGTGAGTGTGCCTCTCCCCTGCAAGTGGTCGCCCGTGAGTGCTTGCAGAGGCCTGTGTTGCCAGGAGAACAAACCACATCAGAGGAGGTAAATGACCCTCTAAGAATGAGCAAGTGCCAGTTGCTGTGACAACTGCTGGCTTTTATTGGATAGAGAGCAAAAAAAATCAATTAGAAATCAGTGGAGAAACTTGCACAGGAACACAAGACGTTTCTGCCTCTCCAGCCCAGAACCTCCCCTGCGTCTCCGCACTGAGAGAAGGGCCTGGGTCTGTGCCAGGGGGTGGGGGGGTGAGGAAAGCCGCCCTCCGGGGCCCCTTGCATCCTCCCGGAACCTCGTCTTCCCAGTGCCCACGCTGTCTGTTGGAGTGGTAAACAGACTGAACCCATTTTCTGGCTCTTCAGCAGTGATATCATTAAACGATTCTGGGCTCAGATCTAAAAATTCTTTGAACCACATGATGTTCAGGTTTATAAGAAGTGACAACTACATCTGTGCAGAAATTTCTTCTCTAAAGTGGCACAGCCCTGACTCGTCAAAAACAAGGACAAAACACAGGGATGGCAGAGGCGGTTCCCGGACGCCACCCCGACCACCCTCACCCCAGGCTCTCTTCCCTCTGTTTGGGGGATTCACGATCCTCCGTCCCTAACTAACTGCCTCAGGGGCTGAGGAGCCCAAGGAAAGATGGTCAAACTTTTCAGAAACAGTTGAAGAACCTTGCTGATGGGCAGAAGAGGCCTGTGAACGAGACAGCAAAGGTCCAAGAGCAGCCAGGAGTGCCGGGGACAGGCGTGTGAGCGCAGGCAGCTTGAAGAGCGTGTGGTGGCAGGGTGCAGGCCTTTGGCTGACGGAGCTTCGTCTCGTAAGGGAATGCTCAAGCTCTCAGACTGGACTGTGCAAGTTCATTTACGAAGCCTCCAAGTGGTAGAGTGACCCACTGAGGGAGTCGAATCCCTTCACACAGTGTTTTCAAATGATAGCCTGAGGCCCCTTATTGGTCCTATGGATCCATTTGGTGGGTTGCACCAAGGAGGAGGAGAAGGAGGATAGTGGGGGAGAAGAGGAGAAGGAGGAGAAGAAAGAAGACAGAAAATATAATGAATCTCACCCTAGTGAGAATAAGTATATTTTGTAAAACTTTTGTTTCATTCTGTCCTTCTTGCTCTGCATGTAGGTACTAAGTTGCTAGATTGAATGCATTTCTTATCATAGATCTGGCCAATTAGGTTGGAAAGCCAGATCTTCCCTGCTAAGAATCCTTCTATATTTTCTATGGTCTACAGAAGAAAAAGGAGAAAAAGAAGTGGAGGAGGAGGTATAGGGAACTGCCCTGCCTGGTTTCAGGTGCTGTAACCCCCCCATGGCTAAGGCTGAGTGAGCGGCCTTCCGGCCATAAGCCACTAAGGAGACACAGCTTATCTCCCTGGCAGAGGTGCTGCCTCTGCCCCTTTTACTCCATCCTGCTTGGCCCCCAGTGCATGATCAGTTAGCCAATGATGGGTAAGATTCCTCAAGAGAGGGACGACCTAAGACAGGCATGATCACAGGGGACCTTAGGGAAGGACTTGGGGGCCTACAGCAAAAAGGGGTGATGGACTCTCACCCCTCGGCTTTGACATAGCCTGAGTCCTCATTCTGTCTGCAAGAAGTCTCCTAATCTTTTGTCTGCCTTACTTCCCCTGCCTGACTTATGCATGAAACAATGCCTTAAGACTGAAACAATGCTGGAGGTGGGTGCCACCCTGTGCTGGAAAGGGCAGGTTCCCTGGGCGATCAGGCCTAAGAAAGAATACATAAAATCCTATGAAACCTGCTTTGCTAAGAATGCTCTCAATTAAATGATAAGGGTCAGAGCAAGAAATGAGTTTGTTTCCCAAAGTTTTGTAGTCCTTTAGCTAACAGACCCTGACTCAGAATAAGCCCTCGTAGTTCCTTGTATGCTATCTATTGTTTGGTCATCACTGCCTGACAATGATTGATGAGCTTTACCTGTATTCCTGTGCAAACTGAAAGCCAATAAAAGCTTGTCAAGGCAAGGGTCAGGGCACTCTCCCCTTGAGAGTGTGGCCATGCTGTCCCTTTTCCTCCACAGGACTTGATAGTCCGTGTGGCTGTCTCGTCTCATCCATAACACACTGTGGGCCGGTGTCTGAGTCAAGGAGGACAGGACTTATCCCACCTCCTTTGCTCCAGGGCTGGAACGTCCCCCAAATCTACCACCCACTCCCCACCGTTATGCCGGCTTCCAGCTTTTCTGCTCACTGTCCTCTCGTGTCCTTGCCCTGCTATCGTGCCTGGATTCACAATACTTCCTCTGTTCTTTGTGCTCTCCGTACGCGTTCTGCTCTCCTCAGGGACTGTCAAGTCTCGTCTTGCCACTCAGCGAACGTGATCTCTGTTTCCTTGCCTCTCACACCTCCTACCAGCTGTTCTGCTGTTTCTCACGCTTCCTCTCCGGCCAGCCGCCTGCACTGTTCTGCACCTGCCTCCGGCCCCTCCCCCCTCCCACACCTTCTCCCGGCGCCTCTCTCGCTGGCTCTGCTCCCCTCCCCTGGGCTCCCCCCCTCCTGACATCCACCTTCTAAGTCGTCGTCTCCCACTACTCAGTCTCTGTTGTCTTGTTGTTTCTGCCTTATCTCCAGCCAGCCCACTTGAGGGGAAGTCACTCGAGCCTGGGGACAGTGGAACCCACGTTTTCACCCCCCGCGACATCTGACACAGTGTGGGGCACATAGCAGGCGCTCAGTAAACATGTCGTGAATTATGAAATCGGCGATTCCCTCCTTCGCGTGAAAGCTCTACCCACACACTCCAGCATTGTTCTCTTCAGGTGCAGTGTTTGCATTTGAAGCGGCTTTGCCATTTCTAAAGCTCTCTCTCTACCTCTTACCTCAGTTCATCTCATCCCTAAGGACTTGGCAGAGGAGGCATGGGTTGTGATACTCGTTCCTGAGGGATGAGGAGATGAGTCTCAAACAGACTCGGGACGGCAACACAGCGTGTTCGCGGTGTCCCTAGAACAGAAGCTACGATGTGACCTGTTCTGTGCCGCCTCCCTGCTCCAGTGGACACATGGGAACAACAACAACAACCACACAGCACGTGCTCATTCCGCACATGCACAGAAAGAAAACCCGAGTAACTAGCAGCCCAGGCGCATCCTGTGTCTCTCACGGGTGAGAAGTCGAGCACCTCGCACCGGGTCAGAGCTTGGCCGGTCTTTGCCGCTTCTGTGCCTGAGGAAGCGCGTGCTCAGAGAGGATGTGCTGGTGTCCGCAGTAGGGCTGACAGTCGTGCCATGGAGCCCGTCCTGCCACTCAGCAGGCCTCTGGGCAGAGTCCCACACGACCACCACCACGCTCTCCCCACGTTAGCCGGCTCCCTACCGAGCTGCTCTCCCAAGCGCCGTCCTCTCTCCGTCGAGACGACGCGCTCGTCCTCCATGTCGCATTTGTTCCCCACCAGGATGACCTGGGCGTTATCCCAAGAGTAGGTCTTGATCTGAGTTGACCTGAAAGAAGAGGAACAGGCACACACACACAAAGATCAGAGGAAAGTGGAACAGCATAAAAATGAGGAAGAAATACATCGCGCACATGATGACAATAGCCAACAATGAAGCCCGGATTTGGAACTAATTACTTCAGTAACATTCCGCCCACCAGACACTCATCAGGGATTGAGTGAGCTGGAAATGAAAGCGCACCAACACTTCCTTCTGTGTGTGAGAGGGGCTACCCCTCACCTTGACAGCTGGAGTGGCCAGCCATCCCTGTTTGCCGACACGCGCAGTGTCGGGACTGAAAGTCCCTGCCGGAGAAGCCCCTCAGGGCTGGGAGGCCCCAGACGGTCAGTCACTCAACAGCCCACCACAGAAACATCGTTCCCTCATTACAGCAATGCCCCAGAGAGCTAAGTCAGCTGGGGCCTGGGGAATCTGAAGGTAATGCTGATTTTTTAAAATAAATTAGAAGAACTAATATAATCAGGGTCTTACACTTTTTTAAAGATTTTATTTATTTTTAGAGAGAGGGGAAGGAAGTAGAAAGAGAGGGAGAGAAACACCAGTGTGTGGTTATCTCTCGAGTGCCCACTACTGGGGACCCGGCCCACAACCCAGGCATGTGCCCTGACTGGGAATCGAACCAGCGACCCTTTGGTTCACAGGCCTGCGCTCAATCCACTGAGCCACACCAGCCAGGGCCATGGCCTTACATTTTTAAGACAAAAATCCAGGGCACAGGGCGGCTCGGATCTCATCGGACACCCCTCGATGGGAACGCAGACCCGAAAGCAGGCCCGGGACCTGCGGGCCTGGGCCCCTGGCCAGGTGCCCGGGCTGCTCCGCGCAGGCTGGAGAAGCAGCTTTTCCCCGGGCGCTCCAGAGCACTTGTCGTGACCGGGAAGTCGACAGGAAGCGTGTTTTTGAAACTCCCTTTCTACTGGCCTCGCTCTTCTTTGAGAACAGCAGACTCAGGTGGGAAAGACACACGAATCAAACGCTGGAAAGCGAAATGCATGGTGACAGTTTAAAGGAAAAGACTTGAAAAGTGTGAGAAAGAGAAGCTCAGCAGTGTTCTCTCCAGCAATTTCCAAACCCTTCATGTGGTTACACGGGAAGCAGTGAGGAGCCACTCTCGACTGGCAAAGAGAGTAAAAGCAAATCGCTTCTAACAGCAGCTGCAGAGCTCTCAGTGAGATGCGACCCCACCCCCCTGCTGACGGAGAGGAGGCTGCGGAGGCAGTGGGGCGGGGGCCAGGGCCCCCCAGGCCCGGGGCAAGGGCTCCCATGAGACGCAAGTGTCCGGTGAGACAGTCTTGGCTGCATCTCGGAGGAGCACCGCGGTTCATCAGAAAATCTGTGAGTGCGGGCTTTCTGGTTCTGGCGCCCCAGCTAACAGCACGGTCCTTCAGAGAGGAAGGTGACAGGGAGACGACACAAACTCCCACAACCGGGAAAACAAAGGCAGGCATCCAGAACCACGCTCTGCTCTCGCCGCTCCCTTTGTGTGGCGTATGTGAAAATGATGAATTCATGGTGAATCACCAGGTGAGATATGCCCTGCACACGGATAACCCTTGCCTCTCACGTGCCGACACAGTCTTACAAAGAGATTCCGAAGGTCCTCGTAGAGGGACTCGCATGGACCTGCGTGTCCTCGGGCCGGGTTTGCGACCACTCCTCTGCTGCAGTTGGTCTCGTAGGCCAAGGCCTGGCCTCCTCCTGGAAAGGCCATAGCTGGAGCCCCGTGCTAACGGACGAAGCTCTTACCCTGGCACACAGCTAGGAGTGGACAGCCGGAGCGGGGCTAGGGAGGGGGGAGTCCCCGGAGGGGTCACAGCTGTGTGAGGACGGGGTCAGGCCGGCTGTAAATGACAGGCGTCCTGGGGCTGAGGACAGGCGCTGGCTGGAGGCGCGTCAGCCCTGCTGCAGCCCAGGCACGCTCACCCCATCACTGTGACGTGCACGCTCACCCCTGGAACCAAGCTCAGGGGACGCTGGCTTCTGCCATGAAGCACGTCACACTCGCCCCCGGGGCCTTAGGCCCCTGGGACAGACCACGCAGGTAAGCGCAGCGATTCCCCTGCCCTCACTGCCCGGACGACACAGGAAAGTGTGCTCAGCCCGTTCAGAGGGAAGTGCGAACACGAAGCCTTGGCCTCGCACCGTCACCGGCACAGCAAGGCCCCGCGCCTGGGGCTGTCGTGGGCACGAGGTTTCTGGGGGGGGGGGTGCCCACTCCGCTGTCTCCCTCACAAGCGTCTCTTCCCAAATAGACACACGGTCAGTCGCAGATCAGGCCTCCGAAACCCAGCTCAAGCCACACTTCTCATCCCTCTCATCCAAACAGCAACGGTTTGTTTCATTGAAGTATCTCAAACGTTGTCTCCAGCTCACGTCGCAAGACGGCGCCCGCACAGGGCAGCTCCCACCTGGGAGTCAGGGGCGCGCCTGTCGGGGCCGAGAGTGCGTCCTCCTCAGGTGGCGTCTCCATGCGTTTGTCTTCCTGTCGTCGGGGCGCGGTGCTCGGTGAGACCCTCGTTTGGGGACGCGGGGCTGTGCTGTCCCCTCCAGGGGGCTGTCTCCTCTCTCTGCTGGTCAGAGAGACGCTGGAAGAAAGTGGCTGTCACCAAACGACAGGCACGTGAAAAGATGATTTATTTCTGAGTCGCTGTAGAAGATCCTTTGGGATTTACTGCTCAACTCAACAAGATGAATGGAACCAGGAGCAAGATACGCTGGTCACCATGGTTACTCAGCCAGTGGCGATGAACGCGGACCTCACGGCACCAGGTCGTGGCCACTAAAAATCTGTTGTCCCAAGAACCACCTCCCCTCTCTCCATGCTCATATACTTTCTATATTTTTAGAAATATTTCTCTCTCTCTAAAAATATACATATATGTACAGAGGAAAGGATTTTGTTGTTTTACTGTTTTTGTTTTATATCATGAGGCAGCAGGAGAGGAGAAAAGGTTTTCACGTTTCACACATAAATGACTGAACAGAAAAAAACAATTCAGGTTCCTGTCCCTTCTTCCTTGTTCCGGATACATCCATAGCGCCCAAGGAGTTCAGCCTGTTCTCAGGGGGACGCTCTAAAAACCATCGCAGAAACATCGGTGACCAGGGAAGCGATGGCCCCGGAGGGTCCAGCCTGGGCCGCAGGTCGGGAGTAGACGCCGGGGGACTCGGCCTCCTGCTGCGGGCGCCCGGCGCTGCGGCGGCTCTGCGTCCGACCGGCGCCTGGGCAGACGTGCCCCGCGCGTCGGGGCCTGGCGGCGGGATTTCGTGAGCGCTTTCCGGAGGAGCGGCAGCTGGGACGGGAGGGCCCCGTGGGGAGCAGCGGCGACGCGCGCAGCTCCTGAGTGTCCACAGACTGCTCGCTGGCTGTGGGGCGGAGACCGGGTCCGGTCCGCGGGACCCAGCAGAGAAACAGGAAACCACGCGGCGGGGCGGCTGCGGCAATCGTTACCAAGGAGGGGCAGGTGGATGCGGGGGAACCTCGGGTGTGATCCGCTGGGAAGGACCCCGACCCACCTGCTGGAATGTTCCACGGGGAACGCGCACCTGCGTGTCCCGGTGAGGAGCTGCCAGGCGGCCTGGCGCGCGTTGCGGACTGTGGACGCCGGGGTGGGGGTGGGTGGGGAGGGGACGCCCCGTGCCCCCCGGACGTCAGTGTTAGAACAGACGGAGAGGGGACGCGAAACACTCCGCGGCGGAAGGGGCCGCTGGATTCGGCCCCCGAGCCTAGCCTGGGTCCCCTGGGGTCGGGGGCGGGGGGTGTGCTCGGAAGCACACACTTGGATCGCGTGATAAAACGAGTTATTGATCGGAATAAAGCACGGATCGCACGGAGGCTGCCGGCGGCGCTGGTGCTGGGTGAGAGGGCGCCCAGCTCAGGGGGAGCGCGCCCCCGGGCGGGGGAAGGGCCCTGACCTCCGAGACTCGCCCGCAGTTCCCACGGGAAAACCGGTGTGCGGACAGTAATATGTAATGACCCGTGTCTGGTACACGTGGAGAGGGCCCCGGAGAGACAGGAGGAGCACGCGTGTCAGGGGGCCGGGGTGGACAACGTCAGCGGTGAGTGACCCCGGGGGAAGGGTAACGGGTGGGTGTCCCGGGCGCTACTTTTGCATTTACAAAAGTCTAGAAGACTGAGGTTGTGTCCACACGAAAACCGAGAGTAGAAATACGTCAACACGTGTTCACCACAACAAGTAAAGTTGTTCATTGAACACCTGTATAGTTTTAATACGCCCTGTGCTTGAGAATGCCACGTTCCCGGCCTGACTGCCTGTGGCTCAGCGGTCCGGCCTCGTCCCACAAAGCGCAAGGTCGCCAGTTTGATTCCCAGTCAGGGCCTGGGCCTGGTCCCTGGTCAAGGCCGTAGGGGAGGCGCTGGTCCACGTGTCTGTTTCACATTGATGTCTCGCGCCCTCTCCTGTTCCCCCCCACCTCTCCCTGTCCTGCCCCCCCCACCTCTCCCTGTCCTGCCCCCCCCACCTCTCCCTGTCCTGCTCCCCCCCCCACCTCTCCCTGTCCTGCTCCCCCCCACCTCTCCCTGTCCTGCTCCCCCCCCACCTCTCCCTGTCCTGCCCCCCCCACCTCTCCCTGTCCTGCTCCCCCCACCTCTCCCTGTCCTGCTCCCCCCCCCCGCCCACCTCTCCCTGTCCTGCCCCCCCCTCCCACCTCTCCCTGTCCTGCCCGCCTGGCCGGCAGTGTGCAGCGGCAGCCGGGGCGCAGCGGGGAGCCCACCCTGAGGCTGGGCTGGACTGAGTCCATGGTGCCGAGTTCTGACCCCGGTGTTTCTTCTGGGCTTGACAGGGGCAGAGCCGGTGCGTCTCACGGCGGGAGGCAGGCAGGCAGGCAGGCGAGAATGCGGGGGCAGGCCTGTGATGGTGCTTCTACAACGCATTCTGTCCTTGTGACCCTGTGAAATACCCCCTCTCCACCGGCCACATCTGACGCCCAGCGTGGGGCACCACCCAACGGGCCGGTGAGGACAG